CCTTGGCTAGAGTTGATGCCGTCGGCTTGGACTTGCAGCAGCCACCCGCGCCGCCGCCACCGCAGCAGCCAGAGTCACGACCGGTCTGGCGCTGAAAGTTGGCAGATAGAGCACGACAGAAGAGCCCAGATTTGGGGTCCGCTAGACATTGAGCACAGGTACCAGGACCTCCAGAGCCGCAACCTGAGCGAGCTGATGCTGGCGCGTTGGTCTTCTTCGTGGCATTGTTCGTCCGCCGCAGCTTGACGGCACCGTCAGCCTGGATTTCCATCGGCACAGCATCTGTTTCGGAGGGCGGTGGTGTGTGCGTCTGCTGAGAGATCGGCAGTATAGCCGGCAGCGTGAGGCTCGTATCAGCACAGACACAATAGGTTCCATCCTTGCAGAAGCCGCACTTGTCTTCGGTCGACCTAAGAATAGGGGCGAGCTGCTGCTGAGTTACGGATAAGGCTTGGACTGGCACCGGAGCATACGGGCTGGATGTTACTGATATCTGAGACACCGACGAGTCTCGCCTCCTATGCGAGAAGAGGCCGGTGAAGTCGGTCTCTATGCTTGAGTCGCTTCGAAGTCGTTTCTCGTGGGGGGCTACCGAGTTTGGTGAGCCTGGTGGAAGCGGTCGTTTCAGGTCCGATCCCGAGGCTGTGGGAAGAGCGCTCACCGTCGCGTTGATGGTTTCTTCGAGACACTCGCAGCGTGAGCCAAGGGTGCACTTGCCGCAGCCCACGGCTTCTGTTGCCAACACTTCGTCGACGCATGCGCAAGCTCCGCTTGAAGAGCATGAGCCGCAGCTGATGGGCGGGGCTTCGATATCTACTTCGTCTGGTGGGCTGATGATTTGCGAAATCGAGAAAGGCTGAGCAGAGGAGCGGCGCGAGGGTGTATGTCGTGGACTTGATGTGCTTCCCCTGCTAGAGTGGTGGCTGTAATATGACGCTCTATGGTGACTGTCGGAGTGATGTTGGATGGGAGGTAGACTGTCGCGACGACTGGCATTCCGTGCGGCTTCCAATTCCTTGGCATGGTCTGCCTTTTGTCTGTCGAGCATGTTCTCGAGCATTTGGCATCTCGTTTGCAGCGACTGTGCTTCCATTTCTAGGGTATGGATTCGGTCGCGCAGCTCTCGTTCGTTCTTGTCGTGTTCCTCCTTCTCTGCGTCTAGTTGTTCTTCCAATTCCCCAACCCGAGCGGCTCTTCGCTCCCGAAAGGCTCGTTGTGCAGCCCGGTTCTGAGCCTTCCGCTTTGTTGGCGGGGTGTCCGTCGCGGGCTTCCGGCCGGGCTTCGGTCGTGGCGGGATGACCCATTCCTTGCTTGTCATGGAGATAGGCATCTTTGCATTTGCGCCGGGCGATTGTGGCATGGGAGAGATGACGGACGACATAGCCATCTTATTTACAGGTGATCCTGCCGAAACCGGTGAGGCCGCGCTCAGAGTCCGGGCGACGACGGGCCGGATAGAAAGGTGCGGCGGTTGTGCGCCGGTAGGATTGGCCGACGGCGTTGGTGCATTCGAGGGCGGGCTGGCGGCCGAAGAGGCCGGAGTGGACACAGCGCTGGTCGTGGACGCGATGAAGGCCTTCTTGGATGATGATGATGACGACGACGAGATGTTGTTGGTGGGTGCAGGCGTGGGAGTGGGAGAGGTTGAGGTCTTCACAGCGCGGGCGCTGGAAGTGTCTGAGGCAGGTGGTCCCACCATCGTTTTTCCGTTCCCAGCGGGGCCTCTTGGAGCAAATTTGCACCTTGAAGAGGGGGTGTGTCAGGAATGTCGAACAGGTGGTGTTTGCCCTCGGCTATGGTTGGCTTAGGCGGCGGGGTGGGGGCCTGTGGTCTCCAACTTACAGCGGGCAACTGGAAGAGGTAACTACCGTACTAGTGCGGGTTTTCTGCAGGTGCAAGCAGGCAGGTGCGATGCACAACAAGCGCAGGCGCGGATTTGTCGGTCAACAGCTCGGAGCTATAAACCGACCAACTAATTAGAGAATTAGTATACGTAGCAGCAAAACACCCGCAATTTTCTCACTCTCGGTGTTCGTGTCCGTAGCGCTATAGGTCTGATTTGTAGCTGTTTCTTGCTGCGATGTGATGCTTGTGAAGCTACCCAGACTCGGATCGTTAAGAGAGGAAACAGTCCAGAAGCTGAAGAAGTCTCCGTCTCAAGTTTGACTGCCTTCTCCGAGCGTCAATTGAAGAGGGGTTTGGGGGTATGTGCGTGTGCGTGTGCGAGCAGATAGATCTGAGGGCCGAAGATCCCTGGCCCAGTGAAAGCAGGCAACAAAGTGAACAGCTTGGCCGCGTCAATCCAAAAACTCTGTGTCTGTCTGAAATCGATCCGAGTAGGGTCGAGGTGAGCCGAGAAATTGAAGCTGGAATAACAGGCTTATTGGTAGTACCGAGCCTCGAACAAACCGAATTCAGTCCGCAGGATAGATGAATAATAGATCCAGGCCGGCAAGGTGAGGTAAGGCACGGAAGGTGAAGAGCTACCAGCTTGTCAAAATGGATGGATGGATGGATGAATGCGGGATGCAGGTTGAGAAAGAGGAAATAGAAGGGATTTGAGTCCCGCAGCTTGCGACGAAGTCGGAACAGAAGCGCGGCTTTTGGATATATGAAGCGTCCGCCACCAAAGGATGGGCCACCCAATGGCACTCGTACGATCCGGATGGGGATGGACGCCGCAGCCGCTGAGGACGAGGATGGAAATGGATGGGACAGACTAAAGGTGAAAAGGAAAGGATGGGTTGGTCTGTGAAGAAGAATTTTCCTTCTGGTCTCCTCTTTGATGGATCATAAGGGTTCTGAAGAGGGGCAAAAGATCTGATCAATTCAATTCGGGGGCCCTTGGTGCTCCGTGCTAGGAGGGGGAGGCGGAAAGAAGAGGGGGAAATCTGTGAGAGAGGGACAAAAAAGACGAGTGTCTCAAGAAGGTCTCTCTCTCCTAGAAAGGGTAGAATGAGGGAGATGATGGGGATGGACTGATGGGATGCTCCACTGATTCGATTGATAAGATTATGAGAACAAGCTAGACCCAGATCAGCCTAGCGGGTGGATGTGCAGATCCACCCTCTCTCGCCGATTCGCTCCTCAACGGGATGAGCTGGGATCTGAGCCCTGCTAACCCTCATAGGCCTCCTCACTAAGAGCTGTGCTACTCAGCCCATAGGCGAGAGCTTCGCGGTGGGATTGGCCGATCGGCAGCCCAAATGGAGGCCTGTGGATTTCTGGTGACCAAATTCCAAGTCAGCCGAATTGCTCAGTGCCCGTACGTATGCCTCTCCGAGTAATCATCGTCTGCCGCGGGGATTTGTGGGTTGTGCGTGGTCATGCCAAGTGTTAGGAACGCACGCACACACACCTCCATGGACGACGGTGAAGAGCGATGTCGGAACACACTCAAACACTCATAATTACCTTAGGTAAACACAACTCAAAGATGGAACTTGCCGCCACTATCTTCGATGATGGGATTTGACAGGAAGACAGCTAGTGATAGTGACAGAGACAGTGATAGTTTAGGTAGCTTTATTTTAGGTTAAAGCTGAAGTTGTCCCCGGAGTACCGTCGACATGAGAAGATCACGATGACACGGACCCGGCGTTGCGAGGAGACAGCTCGGAGACCGACAACAAGAGGATTCTGTTCAAAGGGAAAGTCCGCGGATGGTGGGGGATTCGCGACTGCAACAACGGTCTGATACCACCACAGACCCTTTGAGGCTTAGATCGAGGGAGTCGTTGAGCAAAATATGGTTGCGGCGCAGCTACGTGATATGATTGACGTTCCTCGAGATCTTTCCCATTTTCTATCACAATCTGCCCAGATATACCTAGATCTTCTGGGCCACATTAACGCCAAGTGCTCGTTCCTATAGCTAAAGTGGTGATTGGCTTCTGGACCTGGAGGTTTTCAAATTGAAATCTACTTTTGTCCACTCTCCAATGCCCATAGCTCGGTCAGTACTAATATGTTTCCAAAGAAGCGGGATCAGAACACGGCATCTTTTCGGCCTTTGTTATCGGTATCTAGAATAACGGCCGGCCGGTGTGGTACATTCGTTGGCATTCGTAAAATAGTCTAGATATGTTTAATTGACATGGATCGTTTGTTATTCATTGGTGAGATCCTCAACCGTCTTTAATTTCGACGCACCCAACTTGCATCTCAGCAATTCTAGACCTCTATTCTATGCCATTGAGACTGAGCAGCTCGAAAACTTAGCTCTAAATAATGTCTCTAGGTATTAGAATGCTTCTTGAATAGAACTCCATCTTTTCAGCATGAGGCAAGGGTGAGACTGCGCTTGCACGGCGATAGCCATGGGAATTTGCTGAACGCCGTGTCAAGTTCGTCATGAGAGATGCCAAATGCTATCAAGCTACAGCATTAATACAACGCTTCAATCAAGATCATTCATATGTCAGTACAATGATTGGCTTGCCCGAACTGCCAACTGAGGAAATTGAAATAGCATCTCGGTCTATCAATGGTCTTCATGCTGATTTGCCAGTTCGTAGCTTCAATGTTATTCGGTGCCTAGGCTTCTCAGAATCAGGTGTTTTGGAGGGCATATATCGATCGTGGTAGGGTCTGCACTGACCCGCCAAGCGCTGCAGTAGCTCATCGGCCAGTTTAGCTACAGCACCCCTCGTCATTTTGTTTCCCCAGAACCCCAGCTTCGACATCACACCGCTTACGACACCTTAACCGCAAACGACACTCAACTGCAGCGACAAGATACAATCACAAGAGTAACCCGGGCCGTATCCTTCGTGAGCCTTGGCGAAACCTTGTCGACTCCCCATCGGCCGCATATAGCCGGCATCAAAATTACAGTTTACGCTTTCTGGCCGGCCAATCCTTCAATTGAGCCACCACGAGGCAGGAGACGATCTCGCGCAAGCTCACGCATAGATTGCACTTCCACCTAGGAACGATCTTCACGCGGTGGAAAGCTTCCTGTACGCAGTGAGCCTTACGGTACGGTGACCAGCAGCACCATGGCCGCCGGCACAGGCCTCAACCTCAACATCCCTCCTCCGACACCACTCTCACGGCCGACATCCTCCTACTCAGCCTTCAACCTCCCCTCATCATCTTCCTCGGACACCGACCCCGATGCGCCCCTGCCCTTCCCCACCGCCCTCGCGCGGCGGGACTTCCTGGCGCCCGATTTTCACGCCCCGACGTACCTCTCCGGGCTCTTCCCCTCAGACGACTCCAGCACCCTCGCCCACCGCCACCAGACGCTCGAGGACCTGCGCTCGGAGCTGCGCGAGCGGAGCTCTGCCATCAGCGCCGAGCTGCTGGAGCTGGTGAACGCAAACTACACCTCGTTTCTAGGGCTAGGCGACGAGCTCAAGGGCGGCGAGGAGCGCGTCGAGGATGTGCGCGTGGCGCTCTTAGGCTTCCGGCGGCAGGTCGAGGAGATCAAGAGCCGGGTCAGGGGGCGCCGAGACGATGTGGGGAAGGTCAGCAGTGTGTTGGGGGGTGTGAGGGGGGACATTGAGCTGGGCCGGAGGATGCTGGAGCTCGACGAGCGGCTAACGCTGCTGGAAGGACGGTTGGCCATCGGCAGCCTGCCGAACGGGTCACAGGAGGACGAATGGGGCATCGAGGATAGCGAAGAAGAGGACGGTGCTGGAGACACAGACGACAATTTTGTGGGCAGCAGTCCGGCGAAGCTCAACGGTTTAGCAAGGGAGTATGGCGCAATCGAGAAGCTTGCAGAGTCTCTCGGAAAGGACCTACCATACGTCAAGAAGATGGATGAGAGGATGACTCGGTGTCGTAACACCATGCTGTTGGATCTTGGCACAGCGATGAAAGAGGCGCGCAAGGCGGGAGAAGCAGGTCACGACAGGGTTCTCAAGTTCATGGCTACATATCGGCTGCTTGGCGCCCATTCGGAGGGCGTGAAAATCCTCAAGGAGAGCTGATAAGCCTCTGGCTAGGATATCATTGTCCAGATATCAGGATACAAAAGTCGCCTGCGCTCGGGTCTGATTGCTGATATTCCCAACAATAGCAGCTTGCGGGGAATCGGTTGATGGCAAACATATCTGCACTATATCTCCCAAGGGATTAGTCGAACTACAAAGATTCAAGAGCGCACATTCCAGCAGGCTTTTCCTGTTCGAAACGGACTACGCCGCACTACTTGCTGGGTGCGTTGCGTTACGCTGTTGCAGGCAATAGGGAGCAAGTTAACGTGGGCCGCTGAAACGGAGACGGAGCGCAACTCTGTCGATTATCTATATACGCCAGCCCCAACAACTCAACAAATTCGGCAAAAGAGCTTTTACATGTGAGCAGCCCTACCACGAACGTGACTTGAGCCTCATTGCCATATTAGAAGCAATGAGAATGTCTGTTTCTATCAGAGTATTCATGCCAGCGTTCTGCAGTGATTGTTTAGACTAAGTGACCCTGATCTAAAGTGACAATGGCCGAGACAGACAACTTGAGGCTCCATGTTTCGGAACAGCCGTGGACTTTGTCCAACTGGCACCGGAAAATCAACTGGCTGAATGTAACTTTCATCGTATTCCTCCCTCTTTCAGGATGTATAGCGACCTTCTTTACTCCCCTTCGATTCATCACGGCAACATGGTAAGTGTTGAGGCTCCTTGCCCCTGAGTCGCCCTGGCTTGATAATTGACCGGAACAGGGCACTAATTTATTACTTCTGGACCGGTTTGGGCATCACGGCCGGTTACCATCGACTATGGGCGCATCGATCATATTCCGCGACGATGCCAATCCAGCTCTTCCTCGCTGCCTTTGGCGGAGGAGCTATTCAAGGCTCTATTCGCTGGTGGAGTAGACACCATCGAGCACATCATCGATACACAGACACCGTGAAGGACCCCTATTCGGTTCGCAAGGGACTCGTCTACTCCCATTTTCTCTGGATGGCTCTTGAACAGAATCCCAAAGACAAGGGTCGCGTCGACATCACCGACTTGTAAGTCTTCCAACCAATTTCTCCTCCATGTGTGTTAATTGTGTAGAAACCACGACCGTCTTGTAACGTGGCAGCACCGCAACTACGGACTCGTAGTTCTCGTCTTTGGTCTTCTTTTCCCCATGACAGTTGCGGGACTTGGCTGGGGTGACTGGCGAGGTGGTCTGGTGTATGCAGGCATCATACGTGTCCTGGTTGTGCAGCAAGCCACCTTCTGTGTCAACTCACTTGCACATTGGCTTGGTGACCAGGTCAGTGCCACAGTCTCACCGTGTCTATTGCATATAATTACATACTAATCCTCTATAAAGCCTTTTGACGATCTCCATTCGCCGCGCGACCACTTCCTCACTGCCTTGGTAACTCTGGGTGAGGGTTACCACAACTTCCACCATGAATTCCCCTCTGACTACCGCAACGCCATCTCTTGGTTCCAGTACGACCCAACCAAATGGTGCATTGCGCTATGGAGGGTCGGCGGTCTTGCATACGACTTGAAGAAGTTCCCCAGTAATGAGATCGAGAAGGGTCGCTTCCAGCAACAGCAAAAGAAGCTAGACAAGAGGCGGGCGACGCTTGACTGGGGAACCCCTATCAAACAGCTGCCTGTCATCACTTGGGACGATTTCATGGCGACGGCTAAAGAGGGGAATCTCGTGGTTATAGCAGGCATTGTTCACGATGTGTCCTCCTTTATATCTGTAAGGGCAATATTCATTCTTGATCTTGTCGATATCTATATTGCTAACCAATCGATAATCTCTTTAGGAGCATCCAGGAGGCAAGGCACTGATTAAATCTGCCATTGGCAAAGACGCTACAGCCCTGTTTAACGGTGGGGTATATGATCATTCCAATGCAGCACACAACTTGCTGTCCACCTTCCGTGTAAGTGTTATACGGGGAGGTTGTGAGGTCGAGATATGGAAGCGTGAGGCGGACCATGCGGACAAGAAGGGCGAAATAGGCTTGTCACAAATCACAAGACGCCGCATTGGCAACAGGGAGATAGATACATAGTTTCAAATCAGTTTCTGCCTCGGAGACAAATGGAGTACAACCGGGATAAAGAAGAGACATGCTGTTGGAGAATCCTCCGCCATAGACTGGACCTCACGAAGCAATATGAGCAGAAAAACTGCAGGATATGATGGGTATTATAGAGACATTTTGGCATATCTACGGCTTATGAGCCTGGTTTTATACATGCTGTTACAAATGTGATACAATGCAAATAGAGCCCCAACTCTTGCAGCCCTTACATCACTGACCTAAGATGTTCGGGTTTAATGGTCTCATCAGTAGAGTTGAAACCTCCGTTGAGGCTCAATCCTGGCCCATTTGTCGTGCTCAGGACAACCTCGTGCACCTCCTTGGTGACAGTATCTTCCAGCTGAGAGATATCCTTCTTGACCTGGCCCACAAACGCCTTAACATTGTCGGCTAACATCTGTGGTGTGTATCCCAGCTGGCCCACAGCCAGGCGCACAGCGCCATCACGCTCACGGTAGTCGTCGGCTCCAACAAGCTCCTTCATCAGAGGAACAACGTGGCGGGTGATCGTCTTCGTCTTGATACTAGGCATCATGCCCTTAGGACCAAGGATGCGACCCAGCTGTGCCTTGTTCAGCGCGGTCTGGGAGTCGACGTGGCAGATCAGCTTGTTGAAATTGATCTTATCCTCGCGAATGGCCTCGAAAAGCGACTCTTCACCAACGGCAACCGCGCCGGCTGTGCGCGCGGAGGCTGCAACTGAAGAGTCCTCTTTGCAGATGACAGCAATTCGCACATCTGTCTTGACGGGATGCGGCAGTCTGATTCTATTGCGGATTACAGGACCAGATTTGGCGGTCTTGAGCTTGATAGCCATGTTGTATTTGACTGAGGTGGGCGGGCGACCGACTTCAAAGGCGCGGGCGTATCTTTATAGGTGGCATGTTAGCTTTCCAGATGTCCATTGAAGCCTTAGAATTGACATTATCCTTACCGTACAGCGTCGCATAATGAAAACTGCTCCATAACATCTAGCTTGTGCGTCCGGAACTCCTTGTACTGCTTCCTCTTCTTCTCCCTCGCATTGCGCGTAGGCCGACCTGATGCATGGCGGATCTGGGAGACGGATGGGACGAGAAATCGCGGTATTGATGTCGATGAAGGTCTCGAGACACTCGATAGACTAAGCCTTGCCAGAGAGGTAAGGCATTGGTTCGTTGTAGCCATCGCAGCCGGTGTGATACGCGTCAGCGTCGACGGCATGAAGCTTGAGAGACAACAGGAGTTCGCTGCTTTGAAGCTGTATAGGAAAATTCAGGAAGCATCGATGGCACGGGCCAATTGACAATTCAGCCTCGATTCTCAGGCACACTTGAAAAGCACCAGATGTCTTATCGGTGCGATAAGAAGATGTCTGCTGTTTTTGAAACCCCGCCAGGAAATTTCCACCCCACCAACCCACCGCAACCACCACAGCCAGCCAGCGCCTGTGTCGCTGCATCATTTTGTTTGACTCATAAGAGATACAAAAAAAAACCTCTTGCAAGATGAAGACCGACGAGCTCAAGGCCCTCCCGGCCATTCTGGCCGGCGACTTCAAGACTATCGAGCCGCATCTGCTGGCTCTCGACAAGCACCTCATTCTCCGAACATACTTGGACGGCTACCAATTGGGCGACAACGATCGCAAGATCTGGGTGACTCTGCGAAGCAACCGTGCCGCGACCTCTTTTATCCTCAAAGGAAGTCTTGCCAACCTGCTACGATGGTTTGCCTGGGTCGAGGCCAATCATCCCGAGATTCAGGGAGACATCAAGGCCGCTGAGGCTGCGAAGAAGGCCAAGACGGCAGCGGCAAGCAAGGCTGGTGGAAACTTCAATCTTGCACTTCAGGACACCGAGAAAGGCGTCGTCACACGTTTCTTGCCCGAGCCTTCGTAAGTTGCACAAATATTCTACGGTTGTTCGAATCTGCTTGCTAACATGAAGAAACAGGGGCTACCTACACATTGGTCACGCGAAGGCGGCCCTACTCTCCGACTACTTTGCCCACCAAGCATACAAGGGCATCCTCCGTCTCCGTCTAGATGACACTAATACTCGCACCGAAAAAGGAGAATATCAGGATAGCATAATTGAGGATTTGGCCCTCATGGGCGTCAAGCCCGACAAGCTCAGCTATACCTCCGACTACTTCGACTATCTCTATGACATGTGCAAGCGCCTAATCAGCGAGGGTCATGCTTACGCCGATGACACAGATCAGGAGACAATGCGGGACGAGCGTTTCAAGGGAATCCCATCCAAGCACCGAGACATGAGCATCGAGGAAACGCTTAGGATATTCGAGGAGATGAAGCAGGGATCCGAAGAGGGCAAGAAGTTCTGCATTCGTGCCAAGATTTCCTTTGACAACCCAAATAAGGCCATGCGGGACCCCGTCATCTACCGTGTCAACACGGATGTTCCTCACCACAGAACAGGCACTACCTGGAAGATGTATCCCATGTACGACTTCGCGTGCCCAGTCGTAGACAGCCACGAGGGCATCACCCATGCTCTGAGATCGACCGAGTACACAGGTAAGCGCATCTCCGACTCACGAATTCCATCGTTACGTTTTGTTAACATATGGGCGAACAGACCGTAATCCTCAGTACCAGTGGTTCCTTGACACTCTGAGGTTGCGGCAGGTTCATATGTGGGACTTTGCCCGCATGAACTTTATCCGCACCTTCCTCTCCAAGCGAAAGCTTGCTAAGCTAGTTGATACTGGGCGAGTTTGGGGCTGGGATGATCCTCGTATGCCCACTATTCGTGGTGTAAGAAGACGAGGCATGACTATTGCGGCTCTGCGTGACTTCATTATTAAGCAGGGACCCAGTCGGAACGTCACAACTATGGACTGGACGGTGTTTTGGGCGTCTAACAAGAAGGAGATCGACCCTATTGCACCACGACACACTGCGATCTTGCAGAAGGATGCCGTCCGTGTGACGGTGACTGGAGCCGATGCACCAATTGAGCCTTACACTATCGACAAGCCCAAGCACCCCAAGAACGCCGCTGTTGGAACAAAGAAGGTAGCTTTCTCGAACGAGCTGATATTGGATCAAGCCGATTTGGCTTTGATGAAGCCAGACGAGGAGATCACTCTCATGGCATGGGGTAATGCTTTTGTCAAGACCATCGATGATTCCAAGCCTATCAAGACAGCGACGGTCGAGTTGAACCTAGCGGGAGATGTCAAGAAGACCGAGAAGAAGGTCACTTGGTTGGCGACCAAGGGTCAGGAACTGATCCCTGCTGAGCTCTGGACATTCGATGACCTGATCACCAAGGACAAGCTGGAGGAGGACGACAACCTTGAAGAATTCCTGACGCCCGTCACCGAGACCATGGATGATGCATGGTGCGATGGCGCGGTTGCTGAGCTGAAGCAGGATGATATCATCCAGCTCGAGCGTCGAGGCTACTACCGTGTCGACAAGGGCTTGGGTGACTGGAAGGACGGTGAGGAGGGACCGAAGGGCAAGAGGATCGTTCTGTTCCTCATCCCCACTGGAAAGACCGGGAGCAAGTAAAGGATTAAGATCTTTAATATCTGCTGGAAAATGTGAAAGGGTTGGTGGCGACCCAGTGTTCTAAAGCGGTGTTCGTTATATAGACAGTGCCGATAAAAGTGTTTCGCATCCATGACATCCTTTTCAATTCGTAGCCAAGTTTTCCGAGCTTCGCATCACAACATCACGAGCACCCTAAGGTCTTACAAGATGTGCGAGGGACACGAGTCAGAAGAGCAGGATAAGGATCAGGCCAACAGTTACGCCAAAACCGATACGTTTGTAAAAAATCTGTCTTCTCGTCTTACAATATCCAGTAATGCAAGGCATTGATTCGTGAGAATTATGCGACTCGCCCGGCTCTTGCGACTTTGAGATTGCCAACATCGCCCATGCATTCAACAGCCACCGCCGCCGCCACCGATGGCGCCAGCCGTGGCACCTGCAGCTGCGGCCCTAGCGTTAGCTCTACTGTGACGTTTCTTCCTCATCTTCTCTGCGGCATATGGATTTGCAGGACGGACGCCGTAGTACTGGTCCAGTCTCTCGTCGCCGCTGTCTGTAGACTGAGCCTCCTGTTAGTGCTGAATGGCCGCAGCTGTTTAATGTGATCGACATACTCCGAAGCACATCTTGGTCAAGTCGTTGATATTTCAGAGGCCTTGTTGCTTTGGTTTTTCTTTCGGCTCATCGCAAATTGCATCATCCTACACCTGACGGTCTCGTATACTTGTAAATCTTCCAAAGGAAGCACCTTGATGCCTGATACGAAGGGCGGGTTTGCATTGTGGTGATCGGCCGTTTTAGCAAGGCTTGTTTCCCCGGATTACAACACAGTGGGGTTGCACTGCCCGCCCGTCACTTCTGCAAGCCCCACACAGCTCCGAGCCGGGCCTTTGGTCAATTGGCTCCGGCCCCGGAGGGCTCCCCGTTAGCCACGCTCGCAATGCATCCACAGCTCCGTCTGATGAGAGGAGTGTGTCGTGAAGGGGATATCATTATAACCCCAGGCAGCAACAATGGCCACTTTAAGCCTTTCAATTTCTATTACCTACTGACTTGAGGACATTTGCATGTTTGATCTGGAAAAGGTGGTGTGGATTTCTTAGATGTCATTATTCCTGCGGCCAGATATCTATCAGAATAAAGAGTTTCTGGCTGTGGCGATATTTAAGTCAGAACCCCTTGGCAGAACTGTTTTACCAGCTTGGAGTGTTCTCTGCAGGCACAATGCTATTGGTGTACTACAGACTACGTCCAAACCTGGCAAGTTAAATCAACGATGCAAGCCTTCCTTTACCTTCGCTCTTAGTTCAAGGCCAAGCCAGGGAAATGCAATCCAGCTAGAAACATAGGTGCCCATATAGGATAGCAGGCTGTAGCAATGTATGCAAGTTACGCAGAACTTGAATAAAGAAAATCAGGGTTGAATTGACCTGCAGAGAGATAATACTGACAATCATCATCTGAAATAGTCTTGCCCACACCCCTCTTGATTACTTTTTGTTTAGAAGCAATAGACACGTCACATTGTCTTGCCCTTATCTGCCTATAGCTAGCCTCGTAGTTGATCAGGCAAGATAAGGCAACGCCGACTCTTCACCGACTCGCCTAAGCTGAATCTAGTGCCAGCCACAGCCACAAAGCCTGCATCGAGATTGAAGACATGATATTAGCAGTTACAATATAATTGGCTCGCCAGCCTTACTTCTGGAAACCCCGCTCATCTTGCCGTGGTCGAATACTTCACCGATAGTAGCCAGTTGGCTCAGCCCCGAATTGTGTGCCGCCCAGCGTCATTCCGTGTAACTTTCTCGAACAAATGTTTGCAGTAGGTGGTTGCGCTGCCACATATGATCCACAATGAAAAAACAGGAGGTTGGCATAGACTCTTGAATGTGGCTATGCTCTAGCACTGCCCTCTGAGTCTCTATATATGATTGTTCTGGTGCCCTCTCCCGCTCATCTGAGCCGTTTCGAAAGATGATGGACGAGAATCTCTCAAATTTTGAATTACTACTATCTTGAACAAGCAAACAAAAAAAAAAAAAAAAAAGGATCAGAGCGAATCTCCAGGTCTAGATTCTTGCTCCCCTTGTCGTGCCACGTTACGAAGTTCTCGCTCGGACGTACTCGAACTTGAAATCCCTACATGAGACTATCTATCCTATCCAGCCGATTCGATGGCTACCCCGAAATCCTATAGGGCATGGCACGCCAACGACCGTCGCCGCCTTCTCCCTCCTCTCCCGAATAGCCTGAGGCGGCTCTGCGACCCTATATGCTGACCACTGGGTACCGGATTCTATGGTTTGGATCGAAGCAGGCTTGACAATGGTTGCCTCGTTTCAGTTGCCTCACCTTGCAACGAATCACCATTCCAAGAATAAGCTCGGCATGGCATGATTTGGTCCAATCTGCCTTGAAATTACATAGGGAGCTCTTTTCTTTTTCAGAAAAGTCGCCGATAAGCGATTCTGGCGAATCGGGCAAGATCTTTTCGCAGTAGCATTCACCTGAAGGGTCCTGTTTCACCCTCCAAGTGTCGTGCGATGTGAGCAATCGGGGAGCACGCAATGGACAATTCTCTCCCGGAAAGCCTTGCTTCTCGGTCGTGGAATGTGAAGCTTTTGCACCCTGCATTTAGGGTCGACCTCTACGATCTCCGGTCAGAAAGAATGCTGCCCGGTAATCATGCTCATATACTACTCAGCGTTTCCTCGTGAACTGTGTTCTCTCTGTCATTCCAATTGCTTAATTCTCGTCAACTTGTGAGGAAGATCAAAATTTGAGCAAAAATTTGAGCTCATTGAACCTACATTTACATGACATTATGCCAGCCGTAAACTCCATAGCGTCTATGATGGGGTTTCATGAGGCAACTCGTCCCACAACCGCTAAGCTCACCCATTCTCCTGCTTGCCTGCAAGTTTTTCTCGCTCGCAAAATTAAACTTAATTCCCGCTGACCCAAGTCTAGCAACGAAGAGTACTATGTGGCGGATGCTACAAGGGCTCGGATGCTTGTCATGTTCTACCGCACGCTGATTGAGACTCGGCCAAGTTTCGCAGCATATGAGCCACGGCAGAAATGCCCGATGTTGAAATGCTTTAAATATTTCTCACAGCCGACGGAGCTGATGCTCCACCTTTATGAGTGCGAGAAACTATCATACGGTGAAGTTGAATGCTGGAAGTGTAGCGACTGGCATGAGTTCCCGAACAGCGAAAAGGGGTGGGCTGCAAAGCTAGATCCCAAGAAGAAGGCTAAGTCCGTGAGAAAAAGCACATCCCAACTATTCCGCAAGCTTTCTGGTAGACGAGGAAGTCACCACAAAGATGTTCAGGTTGATAGCCACGTCTGTGGTGTCTTTCGTCCATCTCTTGATGAGATACTTCCTCCTGGTATGGAGGAGGAGATACTCTCCAGTATCGCTGCTGATCCGGCACCTTCATATGCCCTGTTTGTGCCCGACAAGACCCAACAGTTTGAGGCGGATTCAACCGACGTGATGGAGTTACCGGTGACGCAATCAACAAACGCCGCAAGCCGATCGCCTCCTGAGTTTTCTTATAGCGAATTCCTCGGCGTCTCTGCTATCAGCCCGCTTGCAACTACGGGAGTAAATATCAATGACCGCTCCAGTCTCCCTTCTCAAACATATTCGATTTCTCCAAGATCAACAGCAGACGATGGAATGTCAACATCACAGACTAGGGGTCCAAGTCTTGCCCTACAAACGGACGTTATCATTGACAGCCAATTCTGTAGGTCACCGGAAAGACTACAGCCTGATCATGAGAGTGAAAGCCCTTCATGGATGACGGAAATGATGCAAAAGCATGATGGTCGCTCTAGATCCCCGGAAAGAACGTTGTCCGGCAGCACCTTGCAAGATTCGTCTGCAGATTTGTATCACTATGCACCATTGTCCGCAAATTTTGCCAGCTTGCCAATTTCTCAGCCTCACAAACGGCCATCAAGGCATTCGCGGGAATGGAAAAGTGTCTCTAGCTCTGGGAGCTATGGAGACAGCACGATCTCCATCCGAGGCGAATACAGTCCCACATTTTCCGTTTCTTCAAAATGCGGCAATGTAGAGACCGGACCAGGGGTAGAACAAGAGGTAGCTGAGCTTGATGGGAACAGTATTGAAATACAAAGTCAGCCCGACAACACGAAGGACAGCGTTATTGTACCTGTCACTCGGCAAACTTCTGATGGCAACAAGAGAACACGAGATCTTGTCTGTGAGGAATGTGGTTATCGCCCAAGTGGTTTGGAGCGCAATAAAAGAAGTCACATGAGTCGACATAAGAAAACGCATAAAAAGGAGTCGTTTCCTTGCAAAATTTGCAGTCGCTCGTATAGTCGCGAGGACAATATGAAGAAACACGAGAAAATCTGTCATTCGAGGTTCTCTAGACTAACACGAACTTTAAAACATCGACCGGTAGAGGCAGATCCTGAGGCAGCCTGTGAAACACGGTTCAAGAGACACCGAAGGGGCATTTCGTCTATCAGCACACTGGATGACATTCAGTCTTCGCACTTGCTATTTTCTTATGGCATAGGCAAAAGAGAACCCCAAGTTTAAATTTACTGGAAAGTATTTGTTTGGCAGCCAGATGGAATTGTATTCCTGTAATAATGAGTATTTGCTGTGGAGCTCGAGAATAGTCTTTAAGTAATGGTAAAGATAATAAGCATTCTCGCTTTCACCACTTTTCATAACTGAAGTCATGACTGTTTCGTCGTGACAATGATCAAACAAGAGCTTCAAAAGTCTGTCTTTGCGCGCGTAGAAGTTAGACTACTGTTCGGATCGGTGAACGCAAAATATAACCTCTAGATGAAGAATAAACATGCGTTTGCAGGACCTCTTACGATTCTAAAGGGTTGATGGTATCCCGTGCAGCCAGAGACACACGAGGACAATGACTTGATGGAGAATATTTGGGACTCAGGCCTGATCTGCATGTCGATCCTACCTTTTGGTTTCCCCGACGGTGAAGGGTGCA